TTTGTCATGAAAAAACTTTTTCGAGCAGCACTCTTTTGATCAAGACAGTCATTCCATCGCATTTCTGCGCAAAAATGGGTTGTCTCCTCAGGCTTTGTTGTTCGGATTATCATCCTCCAACAAAGAGGGGCAATCTATAGACAACCCATTTTTGCGCTCTTCAGTCTTTCTATGGCACTTTGAGCTTCAAGCATGATTCATCTAACCTCTCAGCCGAACCGGGGGTATTTTTGGAATTTTACAAAAGTTGGGGCCTCAATGATCCAAAACCATAGGTACGTAGAGCCTAAAAAACCAAACCCAATGACACCAATATCACCCAAATGTGACATTGTTTACCCCTTCATCCTATGACCCGAAGTCGAAACCGATTTCGATTGTCTGATCGGAGTCATTTAAATCCTAATCCTCATTTCACATCAAATTGAAAATATGAAACCATAGGTACGTAGAGCCCAAAAATCTGAATCCAACGACACCAAGATCACCCGAGTCTGACACCGTTTACCCCATCATCCTAAGACCCGAAGCCAAAACCGATTCTGATTGTCTAATCGAAGTCATTTTGATTCTAATCTTCATTTCAAATCAATTCCAAAATCCAAGACCATAGGTACGTAGAGCCCAAAAATCTGAATCCAATGGCACCAAGATCACCCAAGTCCGACACCGTTTACTCCATCATCCTAAGACCCGAAGCTAGAACCGATTTCGATCGTCTGATTAGAGTCATTTTGATCCTAATCCTCATTTAACATTAAATCCAAAATCTGAGACCATAGGTATGTAGAGCCCAAAAATCCAAATCCAGCAATGCCAAGATCACCCAAAGCCGAAATTGCTTAACCCTTCATCTCAAGACCCGAAGCCAGAACCGATTTCGGTCGTTCGATCAGAATCATCTCTGATCCTAAATCCTATCCCGAGAAAATMTGAAATCCAACCTTATAGATGGATAGAGATCAAAATTCCGAGTCCAATGGTACCAAGATTGTCCAATTCCGACACCGTTAGCCCTTCCATCTTAAGCCCGAAGCTAGACTCAATCCGAACCCTCCGTTTAGAATCCTCTTCATAATAACTTCGAACTTAAGGCATTCCACAACCAGAACTTCCTCTCAACCTCTAGAAACATCTTAAAAATCTAAGATTTGACCAGCTATAGCTTCCAATCAATCAAGCCAATCACCTAAACTTAGAATGTCTAATTTAGGTAAATTGGTGAAATCTTTCACTCTTTGTCTTGATTGATTGAGAGAATCTCTCACAAAGCTGTCTTGGCAGCCCATTCTCTCAATCAATCTCCCTCAAATAACCATTTAAACATCAGCCATTGATCTCCCTTGTCTCCCATCTCAGCCCTCCATTCCCCTCTCAAAAAATCTATAAATACCATCCCTTCCTCACATCCTAGACACATAATCTGACATACATAAGCTAGCTTAGGGAGAAAGCTCAACTCCCACGGCTACTACCCACGTCCCAAAGCCTCCTCACTCACTCTCCAGCATCCCTAGAGTCCCCCATATCAGTTTGAAGCCAAAGAACACCCTTGCCTCGAGCATATCCAAGCAAAGAAGCATGAAGCATTCTTGAAGCAAAGATCTTGTAGCAAAGAAGTTCCCATCATCCAACACGTTCTCCACCACTTGGGCCACATTCCATCACACTAAAATGACACTAGATATTTTGAGGATTGAACTAGAGAGTTAATTCCTTTTGGGCATTAAACTGAAGAGAGGAACTAGAGTGATTATGGGGTCCAAAGCTTGCTGAAATGGACCATGAAGAATTCAATCACGACCTACACCCATAAGTGGCATATCTCAAGTCTATTTTTGACAACTATGAGTGAGGTGGTTAGGCTACGTATTAGGGTCTCCTTGAAGGACAAAAGAAGACCGAGTGCAGGAATGACCCCTATTTATAAGGAGAGATCCTAAGGTCCCAAAAGGGAATGAGCCAAAAGTGTTTGATTCCCATTARGAAAGGGAATCTCGGATTTGCTATCACTTGTTAGAAAGCACTACTAAGGTTTTTCCATGTGTCTTATGACATATCTCAAGGACGAACCTTCCTTTCGTTTGAGGATTCCCATTATACACGTGTGCTACTTTCTTTCGTGACCTTTTTAAACCGACGTGGCGTGGATGACATCACTATTTACCGTGCACGCCCTTATTAGGCCCACGTAGTATAATTTAATAACGCACGTGTGTCTATTATTTGTTCCTGGCCTACGATAATTCCACGCTTATCGCAGTTCTACGATGGATTTGAACTCATCGCAAATCTGCGTGTCTAAAGTTCATCATGAGTCCAGGTGTGTCCAAAGCTCATTGCAAGTCCGCACGTCCAAAGTTCATCGCAGATCCGCACAGGCCAAAATTCATTGCAACATGTTTCAGGTATGAGTTCGTCACAAATGATGAACTCATCACAAACGTGCGATGGGTTATGGACTCATCGCAGGTATTCGTGTAGTATTGATTTGGCACGCTCTGTACTTTGATGGTCTGAGTGACCACTATGTACCTACAACAACAATGGTTGCTTGTTTCCAAGAAAAAAAAAAAGAAATCAATGGTTGTTAAACCCGAAAAGGTAAAGAATGACTTGAATTTTAAGTTAACTATGAAAGGGAGTAGGGAAGGACTAAGGACTAACGAGTAGGGACTAAGTAGTAATTACCTAAATATACAGGGTTGAGTTGATTCAGTTCGATTTTGGTTTTTATATTATTTTTTCACACAAACTAAATCGATTTGATCGATTTGGTCAGTTTGACATTTAATGTGAAGACCCTAAAAACAACAATGTCCAGCGACAAGAACCACTTTTTGGAACACAATTTCCAGTAATTTGGGCTTAATAATGCATTTTTTCCGGTTTCATAAATTCGAAATGTATATACGAAAATAGATGTTAATGGTTAAACTTTAAATCCATTAAACAACCCTAACTCTCGGTATTTAGCATTTCGATGATTCTGAAAATCAATACGTACCATACGATACACACTGATATGTTGCAATATTTTGAACAATACTTATAGAGTGAAATCAATTTCCATCAATAATATAAAATCACTAGAATGTAGTTCAATATGAGCTAGTTTTATTTTTGGGTACATTATAGATTGCCACCTTATAGTTAGAGGGTAGTGACAATCCATGTTCAGAATATCAGTATTGCATATCATATTATGAAGGTTGGACTCACATACCCCCCAAAAACATAAATAACACTAAATATAAAATTTAAAAAATTATACAGACAACAAAATGCACAATTAAATAGTTTATATGAAGAGATACATTATAATCAACAATATCATAAGTGAAAACAACAACAGGGAGGAAGAGATGAGAAACCTAAATTAAGAAATAACTATATACGATATATAAATACTTAAAAAATGCACATTTAAATAGTTTATATGAAAAGATACATTACAATCAACAACACTAGAAGTAAAAACAGCAAGGAAGAACAGAGTATATTGAAGAAGAAACAAAGAAGATTACGAGAAACCCACATTAGGAAAAGGGGTCAGTTGTAGAGATTCAACTGGAGAAACCAGAACAGATCCAGAAAATTGAGGAAGAATTAGAAACAGTCCACTAAGAGCAAAGATGAAATATTGAAAATAAGTCTCAATACCTAACCCATGTAGGAACAATCAAGGTCCAAAATATTGATATGATACTTTCGATACAGAGCATATCATATCTATATCTATAGCCACAGATATGGGATATGCCACAACTAGGTATGTATCCTATGAGTCGTGCATATTGGCACACCTTCATATCAGGCCATATCATGTCGTATCAATGGATACGTTTTAATACACACTAATGCGAAATGTATCGATACCTGGTTTGACAAATTTATATGCTTTATTTTATAATTATATGTTAAAATGAAAAATTAGTTATTATTAATATAAAAATACTAAATAAATAAAATTTTCCAAAAGAATTAATAAAAATTAAAACTTTTAATTATAAAAACTGAAATAGAGTGATAATTATTATGATGTGTCCATGTTCTATAGTTCCAATATTGTTGATTGTAATGTTTCTCTTCATATAACCTATTAAATGTGAATTTCTCAAGTGCTTATACTTTATTCATAAATAATTCATCTTAGGTTTAGTGTTATTAATGTAATATGTGATTTGCATGCATTTCCGAGCTATCCAAGCATTTCCATATCATGTGTTTCCAAAGTGTAACTGTATCCAAGCTATTTGATACGATACTTGATACCCATACTTTGATCCTTAGAACAATACATTATATCAACAAAGTAAAGTAATACTGGGACATACAAGAGTGAAATCAGTTATGGATTAAAAATCCAAAGCTTGGGTTTTTGAATGGCAGAATATTCTAAAATTGGAAGCATTGATAGTGAATCCTACATTTTGATACAAAACTGTATCAGATAGTTCCAATCTTACTGAAATCAAAATTGTTCATATTGGTAAGCATCCCCTAAAATAATGCCAAAATTGCTTTAGCAAAAAATTTATTCTTATGGTAAAAAGTGACATGGCTCTCATCAGATTCACAATCACAAGCATACGTTTTGTTAAGACATGCCAAACCATAATCATGTAGATCAAACCACCTTCGGATCACTATGAAATGCAACAAGACAGATGGTAAACTGCTCCAATTTTTGGCTACATGTTCCTCCTATCTGATATGAATGCTTTTGAAGCATTCATGTATTCATGCGGTTTACTATATGCAGCCCGGCCTCTATCGGCTGCATCATGTCAATACTTTGAGCCTTGACTGTAATTTCATCAAATCTGGTCGATGAAACCGTCTCTTCTTTAGTTGAATATTAGCACCAAATGGTAATAGGATGAACTGAACGAGAAAAAGCTTTGCTCTCTTTAGAGCATATTATATACATACAGATGCATATCTTTTCTTAACAGTGTTCAAGATTATGTGAATAGGGTGTGTATGCATACCAATGGTCCAGTGGAACCGCAGGAGCCTTGATTCTCTACATTTAGATTCACATGCATGTTGGAGTTTGTATAATAGGCATCTGAGTGCATCCTTGGATAAATTGAGTTTAGTCTGCTCACATCTTAGAACTAAGACAGACCCATGACACAAGGATACACTATAATCCTAATCGGAATAGTGCATCCTTGTCAAAATTGAGTTTAGTCTGCTCACATCTTAGAACTAAGATAGACCCATGACACAATGATATACTATAATCCTAATTGGAATCTTACATCTACAACTTCAAACTTCATCACTATACCTGCTCAGATAAACCCCCGGTGTGGAAAAATCTTCAGCTTGTCTGAGTAGAAAATGCTTACTTTGGGAAGTTTAGTTGCTGAGCTGAAAGAAATTACTCCTCTTCATCAAAGTCCATGAGAAAATCAGTAAGGTTCTCTGAGTCATCAATAGCCTCCTCAAGACTCATCGAATCTTTTCTCTTTGGTTTCTCCTAAAAGAAAAAGGATAGACCATGTTGTAGTTAGAAACATTGCATAAAGTGGTTGACGTGGATTTTATTTGTTTGGCATATGATCTTTTTTATGGAACAGATAAAACATATAGAAGAGAAAGGAAGAAATACAAATAAACAGTAGCTAACAATCAACTACTACCAAAGAACAGTTGGTAAAAATCCCACAGCATCTGGAAACAACGTAAGAAATGCAGAAAATAGAAACACCTTTGATTTGTGGAGCTCAGGAGTACTTTTCAAAACACTCCAATTGCGTGTAATTTTCTCTTCTACTTCATCTTCTCCTTCAATATCACTCTCCTCTCCATCCTGTCACAAATAAATGCCAATTGCCAGCTTAACAATTTGCAAGTGGTAAAAGAACCTCCTAAGCTTTTCAGACCCATGAGAGAAGCAAAACAGCAATTCATCAAGCAAACACAAAAAACGAAGCAAGAAGATCTTAAACAGAATATGGTTGCATGCCAACTCACATCATTTTCACCTATATCAACTGCTCGTGCCATAGCTTCATCCATATCTGTCATCTGTATCATAGTTTTGTTGAAGCAATACATTAGTAAGACAAGGGTATGAAATTTACCCTTATAAGTTGCAAAAGTTTCTTTATCATCAATAAGCTCTATGTTCATAAATTCTATCTAGCAAGGTGCAGGCATGCACCGAACCTATATGGTTAGGACAAGGATTTAATGGGTGTTTTTTTTTTTTTTTTTTGAGTTTTAGTTGAGGATGCAGATACTACATAACCTGGATATTGTTTAGTTTTGTCTAGCTAAAAAAGAGTTGTTTAAGTGTGAAACCAGTACATAATCTCACTCTGCTGAATATTAAAAAAGATGCTTATTATATTTAGAGGAGCTATGTTTTTTTCCCTTCACTTCTTGGAAACCATATAACAGAACTTAACAGATCTTGGATTACAAGGTTTCTTGTTTTTAAGTATTTATATTCTATTTATGTATCTTTTCCTTCTCCATCGGATTATTATAGGTACATTCCCTTAATATTGCACAGTTACATGAAATATTTTATTGTGGAAATCTATCACAACTTTTGGAATAAACTGCAAGGATAGGTCTGTGACTGTGTTTTGCGAATCCAAAGTTTTCATATCAAGCACCTATTAATTTTGGATACTGATACGTTGATCAAGTCATTAGTACAGAAAAATGTACCAGAGATGTTGACTGCAAGGACAAAATTGAATATGAAAGGGAATGGGTTCACAATTCAACAGGCCTGTCAAGGAAATGATGTTAAACAAAGTTCAGTAAAGTGGATGATCAACTTCTTTGGACCACTAACCATACTCCAAAGAATTCCATTGTCTAGATGTAGGCCGATGACCACATTCCCAAGTTGAATTGCTCAGAACAATCTTATCTGTTCACCACTGGACTGAAAGATCACCACCATAATTGATCAGTGGATCACACAGCTGTACATATCAAACAAGTCATGCCACTATATACTGTATGGCAAAGTTGTCAAGGTGACCCCTAGGCAACAAGGCACCCTTTGAGGCTTGCCTCGCCTAATTACCAAAAAGTTCTGTACTTTCTATTGTAAAATACTTTTTTATTCTTTATTTTTTGAGATTATAATTATAAAATAGACATTATTAAACTAAAATATTCATTGTGTGTTTATATACTAATTTCTTTTTATTATTTTCTTATTTGTTAGTGTTTAATCAACACAAACATTGCCAAATGCTGTATTGAACCCTCACACACTTCAAAACCTGAACCAATAAGGAAGAATTTAAAATTTTCTCTAGTCAACACATTTTCTTCTTCCATATGTTCTTCTTCTTCTTCTACCACTACTACAACATTTTCTTTTCTTCCTTTCCTATAACAAAAATAAGGATTCAGCCCCTATATTTTTTGAATTTTATTTTCCTTCTTTTTCTTCTCATGAATATGTTGATTTTCTGTACTTTAATATGAACTTTATACTTATGAAAATTATGAACAATTATTAAGGAAATATGGTTATAGTACCTAGAGACTACCCTAGGATCTATGTTTTTTACATAAAAAAATCCATCGCCTAGGCACCCGCCTAGGTGACTAGGCGACAAGGCGCCCCCTGTCGCCTAGCCTTGCCTTGGTGCCTTGAAAACTATGCTGTACGATAAAAATATGCTAGCATCTTGTATAAAATGCAAGTAACAGGTGTAACTGCTCGATAATATTCTCCAGCATATGGAAAATAAAAAACACCAAATTACTAGAATACACATATGTGCCCATTTTGTGAACAATATAGGGCATACATTCAGTTAATTAGTAAATTTTCTCAATTTCAACTCTCCATTACCTCAAGTTCTTCAGTCTTCTGTTTGGCAAGAATTTTCTCAAGTTCTGGCCTTGGCGTAATTTTTCCATGCTGAAGTCAAGTGATTAAGAATATAAAATGATGTTAGGGGAAGAACTCAGAAATTAAGTATAATTGAATGGCACATTAAGCATATGCAGCAGCAACACTTTAATAGTTTCAGTTTTTCATCCACAGATTTTTCTTGCAGAAAAATAAAACTCATGTACATTTCAGAACATAGATGAATATTGATATTGCATAAATAGCAGTGGTTCATTCCACCAACTCCAAAGCAAAGATGATTTAAAATCCACAGAAACAGCTGTGGTCTTTCTTTTAAAGTAAAATGCTACATACTTGAGAAGATAAATATAACCACGGTACTAGAGGGCAAACTATCATAGAGGATATTTAGTATATTTTAAGGTAAAAACCTAGACAGTTCAAGATGCATAAATTTTTGCATTTCCCTGAAATGCAGGTAACCTAGATCATTGGACAAGTACCTTTAGAGATTCTTCACACTGCATATCAATCCAATTTAATTGCTAGAGCTATCTAATATTGTGAATATGTCTTTTCATGCTCGTTCTAAGGCATTCCCCAAAATGCGCTACACTTTAACCCAAGTGTAGTATCAAATGGGCAAGGGTATGCTAGGACGTTCCTTTGAAGTGAAATTCCACAAATACACCCATTTAGATGAGGGTGAGTAAAGAGGTTAGTCCAATAAAAACGAATTAGTAGACGCTATGAAGAGGAAAAGGATTAATGTTGTATGCTGAGAAGAAAACTAAATGAAAGGGTAAAAATCTAAAGAAATTGATAGCTACAAATTACAGTACATTGGAGAGGTAAATAATAGAAATAGAGTAATGATAATAATAGATAAAGATCTAATAAATCAAAACTGTAAATGTTAAACATCTAATAAATGATAATAATAGATAAAGATCAGAATAATTTTAATTAGACTTGTTTCGAGTGAGAAAATCATTAACATAATTAGTGCTTATGCACCTCAAGAGAGTTTAGAAGAAAATATTACAAGACAACTTGAAAAAACTTAAAAGGATAAATCCAAGAAATTCCAAATAAAGAGAAGATTTGATAGGAAGAGACCTAAATGAGCATGTGAAGAAAAGGTGTAAGATATGATATGGCACATGAAAGATTTGGGTTTGGAGAGAGAAATGAAAAAGGAGAATATTTTAGAAATTGCATGAGATTAAGATATGGCAATAGTAAACATATTTTTCAAAAAGAGGAATTAACACTTGATAACATTTAAAGGTGGATCAAACATAACTCAATTAAATGTTTTCCTTACTAGGAGAATAGAACGGATGATGTGTAAAAATTGCAAAGTTATTCCATGGGAAAGCTTAACCACAACATAGATTAGTGGTGATAGGTGTGCACATTAGGAAATAAAAAAGAAATAGAGAAGAAAATAGGTGTCTAAGAATTAAGTGGGAAACCTAAAAGGAGAAAAACTAGCACAATTAAGAGATATGTTAATAACAGAAGAAAATTGGAATTTAGATGGAAAGGCTAATGATATGTGGCTTGAAATGGCCAATCACATAAAATAACAAACAATGTTTTAAAAAAATCTAAAGAAAAAATGGAAAAGAGCAAGGAAACATGGCAGTGGAATGAACTGGTTAAAAATACAAACAGATTAAATCGAGATTGTTATAAATGTTAGACAGTTTTGTATGCGCTTAGCTTCAATCATTTTGATGTACTTTTGTTATTTAGTGGAAATAAATAAAGTGCATGTTTGATTCATGTTGTTTGGTTTAATTCTGTGTAAAACCCTAAAACTGGACATT